CTTTATCTTAAACTCAACGTTTTTTTTTTTTCTATTTTGGAACTGCTACAAATTGAGAAATTAAGTTTGACAAAGTTCCTAAGTATGTTTATTACTTTTCCTAGAATTATCAAAACTCAAACTTAGCTGAAAGTAGATAGAAAATTTTGCAAACAAGGGTTTGATGGGCTTCTTTCATTGTTTATGAGAAATTCTTCCTGATTTCATTTGACAAAGAACTTTGAAGATATTTTAAACAATATTAGCAAATGATTACCTTTTAAAGTATATGGGGCAATCGATTTTGCCTATGCTAAAATTTAATGTAACGGAAGAAAAATTCTTGAATAATCAAAGATGAATATATTTTATAGTCTATTTTTATCAAACAAAAATTCATATGGACGAAGTTTCCTTATCCTCACAAAAACACAGCCATATATTTTCCATATACATATATGATAATTCATATGAACACAGTCATGGAAAAGGAACGTTAAAATGAAAGGGATGGAAAAGAAAATTTGCCGAAATGCCTAATCTTTATTTTAAATTTCTTAAAATTGAAGAGAAAAGTTTAAAGAAGCAAAATAAATTAAAATTAATTGCTTTCACTTTTTTTTTGTTTTCCAGCTTCCATCATCTACTTTGCATAAATTGTTTTTCTTGACATTGATTCAATGCTATCAAGTAAAATGTGCTTTTAACATATTCTATTCTTACTTTTGTTTTTTAACCAAAAATAAGATAAGAAATGAAATTTTTCTCGTGGTTATTATTGTAATTGAATTTGTTGAACATTCAGAATCAACCTTATCATCATGACATTTCATTGTCACCATGGCACTGTTCTCACACGTCGTACAAAAGAATGAAAAGTTGTAAAGAAAAAAAAGATGTTAATTTAATCAATAGAAAAAAAGAAGAGATGTAGAAATGTCACTGACATTAAACGAATCGAAATTGAAAAGGAAAATTTTATGTTGAAATCAGTATTTCTTCATTGCTGTTTTGTTCTTTCCCATATAAGAAGTATACATTTTGTGAATCCGATGTAAATGAAATTGTTTAAATTTAAAAATACACAACAAAAAAAAACTTTTTTGGTTGTTGGTTTTTTTTAATTTAAAATTTTCCTGTAAGGAATAAAAGACTATAAAGTAAAAGAGAGATTTAATTGGATTTGTTTTGTTTGGTAACTTTTTCACACAGAAAACTGATTTAATTTAATGAACGAGAGTGGCGAAAGGGATTTCGACTTCTAAAACCGTTCGCAATCCAAGCATGTTACATAAATAAATTCTGTTTGGTGAAAAATGATGCGAGAAGCTCATATATCTCGAATCACAATTCAAAGGATTTTTCCAGTAAACAAACCACTTAATGTAGGTTTATGTTCTCATGTCAACACACCACGCAATAAAAAGATTTTTTTTTTTTCTAAAATAAACATCTCAACACTTAGAATATATATATATATAAATAAATAGCGAAGAAAAAATGCTATGGTTTAAAGGCAAACTTCAACTTTTCGCATGATAAAGAGAAAAAAATAAATTTGTTAACTTAAGCATATGTTGATTAAATGTTTAATTGAAAAAATACAAAATGGAAAAAATACTTCTTATGCATTAATACGAGAGAGCATCGGAGCACATTACAAATCAAAACCAAATGATATAAAAGAACTAACACTAAAAAACACGCATATTATGAAAATTGTAAAAGAATTATTTTCAGAAATAATATACAACAAAAAAAATTGTTTTTTAAACCCCCGAAATATCTGCCTCCTTCTGGATCTCCTAAATGGTTCCTGAATGAAAAGGCAAAGAAGGTTGTAAAGAATGCGCATAATTATGTTACTTTGAAAATCATTGTGGCATACAGCGACTCCCTAATGGTCGAACATCACTTATGAAGAACTTTTAAGAAAATAAAATAGAAAATTTTAAGGAGGCTATATTAATCTCAATGAGCAACCAGTGAATTATGTGAAATATCTAAGGTTGTGTGCAGTAAATGCAATAAATCCTAATGAAATTGCTATTAAAATCGTATTTTTTTTCTCTATCGCCCCTATTTCTCTATAAAATATCGAACACTATGAAATAAACAGTAAAACTCGCGAATCAAGTATCGACCCCATTGTTATGGATTATATTAACCGACCAAATGATATGAATATCATTTAACGTCTTTTTTATGTGCTATTTATCTTTATATAAAACACGAGAACATCAATTAAATTAAGATCATATTGAACAGAATTACTTAAATAATCAAATATCATGAAAAAAATTTAATAAATAACAATGATCATAAAAATAAAATTCCAAACAAGGCTTTGGTAAAATTACGCGTTCTGATTAAAATTTATATTTATTTCTCGTCAAATTCTATAAAGAATGAAACGCCATAAACATATTATCTTCTTTTTTAACGCATATTGATAGCTTTTTTATATGCGCGTGACATTAAGTGCTAAAGGATTGTTGGAAGAAGATTAGATATTTAGCTTCTACGATTTTTGTAATTGATTGAATTATTTAAATGGCTGACTTGTGTGTGTTAAAAACAAAGAAATATCGGCAAAAAAATTGAGTACGACAAAATCGATTTTTTTTTGAAAAAAATTAAATGTATTGGAATTTTAATAAAATCAAAAATTTTATTTTTCAACTCTCATCGATTCTTGTTGCCAATTTATTGCACAAAAACAACAAATGTAACTTATAAAAGATTTTTTTCCATGACAAAATGACCGACAATGTGAAGATTATCAACAATTAAAGTTTATCTTCGAATTATTCTCATGAATTTTTCACTTATAAGGATATTAATATATCTCTAAATATATATGTCTTAGCAATTAAATGATTTTATTACTGCCCAATTAAGAACCCAATAGCAATTAAAAGTTACATTCCAATGAATATTGTATCCAATCAATTTCCATTAATTCCAAAAAGAAATTAAAGAGCACCAGAAAAGTTTCAACAACCTTTGTATTAAACAATATTATTAATGTACAAGATCTTTTACTTGTACAGTTTTGAATTATAAATTTGTATTTAATTAAAAAATTGTATATTAATGAAATTCTAAAGCCTAAAAATCATACCCTATACCTCTTAAAAAAAATTAGCATATTGTATTTGCATTTAAATTTTTGAAGCAAAATATAAGACAAACTATAACTCAATGAAATTGATAAACAATTTTAATTCAATCAATATTTGAACCTGTAAATTGTTTTCTTTTTTGATGATTTTCTTATATATGAATAGGATGAGAGAGGAATGAAAAGCTTTTGGCACCTTTTCAACATTTTATTCTATACTCTTATGAATAGACAGGTTTATATCTATATGTATATATATTTTGGCACTAAATTAGAGCTTTTTGTGGCACAACATTTATAAAAAATACAGCTCATACAAAAATGAACAGCTGTACGTTCAAAATTACAACTGTAACACTATGATAGGGTAAAATAATAGAAATGTTTTTAAAAATCGTAAAACTTACAGCTGTAAACAGAGATAAAACTTAAGTCCCTATTATTTTATTTGAATAATTAAAAAAAAAAAAAAAAAAAAAAAAAAAAAAAAAAAAAAAAAAAAAAAACCTTTACCTATTCAGATCAATTGTGATCCAGAGGTGCGCTAGGGCGATTCGCAGCTAATGAGAGTTTAACGAGTGAGGATGCGCCAAACCACTGCACTCAAACCTAGACCTACAATTTATAGTGGGATCCGAACCACTCCTTTGATGACATTTCTGTCTGTAGCCTACAAAGGAAGGCTGTGAGCCTCATTTCCAGTACATATGATTCGGAGAAGGACAAGTGAAAAATTTCCCATACCCAGTCTCGAACCCATGATCGCTGTGTCGGTGTTGCAATAATTAGGTACCGAAGTACTAAACCATTCCGCCACCGAGCCACTTCAGCTCACTATTTGAATAATTAGATTTGAATTATTTTTTCTACTATATAGTATTTGGCTTACTTATTTTTATTAGGAACTTTTTCGATGAGCTGTATTTTCATTTGATATTTTGCCACATTCAGCTGTAACTTATTGCCAAAAAATATAGAGCATATAATACTGATGCTACCTAAACCTAAGACATAAGACCTTTTACAAACAATGCTAAATTGATTTTCCCTCAGAGCCAATTTCTCATTATTACATTGTTCATTCCCTTCTCCCACCCATTTGAAGTTCCCCATCCATATGAAGTAAACTTGCATATATCGTCCCATTCCATGTAATCTCAACAAAAAAACCTTCTGGCGAGAGCATAATAATAAACATGATGTTTGGAATTGATCCCTTTGTATTCTCCTCGGAACTTGTTAAATTAGTATAAATTGTTTTAGAATATTTGTTTAGTTCCAAAATCTATTGCTTTGTTGTCAAAAATGCATCTTTGCTTTACTTGCAAATGAACATAGAAATGAAAAACATGAACAAACAAAAATTAATAAATTTAACTGAAAACAAAAAATTATCATTTTATCAAGAATATAAGTGGATGGAAACTGAAATTATGTGGGTGGAATGCCTTTGTTCGTTTTTTGATGAAATTTGTATGCTGTGTGTATGTCATAGATAATTTTTGGACATGAAATTCATTTGCATATGTTTCGAAAGTTTTCACAGTATCATGGGCAAAAAGATAAATGGATGAGAGAATATGATGAATGTTTTACGTGAATATGTGTAAGTTTTCATAGAAACATCATTACAAACTGTGCAACATAGAGTAAGAATAATGGGCATGTAATACTTTCGCATGAATATTAATTTTTCTTTTTTAAACTAAAATCCTATTCATAGCTTTTGGCTTCCTGTAAAACTTTTAAAAATTCAATTTTTATTTTCTTTTTTTTCATATCCGTCTAACGATACATTAACATAAATAATTAAAATATGTATGCAGAACGAGTGTAGACGACACGAGGCCAGTAAAACAATTACGTTAACATTTTTACAACATTTGTTTTAAGTTGCATGATGCTTCTTCAAACTGGACCGGCATCACTCAATGGTAGTAATTCCTCGTCATCGTCGACCATTTCATCAAACACAAACACAACAACCGCAACAGCTATTAGTAATACATCATTGCCATTGCATCATCCACCAGCGCCATCATCAATCACATCATCGTCCAGTGCCTCATCAACACCGCCTATTCGGGATGTAAATGGTTATTTAGAAAATATACAGGATCAACTTAAAGAAGGATACACAGTTCATACAGCGAAAGATTCGAGACTTTATTACTGCAAGTAAGTAATTGAATGTTTATTTTGACAACAATTAGGTAAACAAAAATATATGCATGTGCAAATAAATTATTCATTAAGAACTTAAAGTTAAAGATATATGCAATCTTGATTATATTTCATACATCTCAAAAAAATCTCGAAATATGAAAATATATATGACTGTGTATTCAGCAACCATAAACAAAGGATGATTGACGCAAACTAACTTTACTCAGCTATATACACTTTATATCAAAAATATAATAAACCAAATTGGGTAACGGAAAAAAAATCAATGAGAGAAAATGTATACCCTGAACTTTTTTTACCTGGCAAAAAGTAGCTTTGTATATTTTTATAAATAGGAAAGAAAAACAACCGCAGCAGACAATATTGATTTTCAGACATTTTCCTTCTCCATTGCTCATAATGTACTTTATAAATACTTCTGTAAACATACATCCAATATTACAAAGGGAATTATAGCATGTTAAAAATTGCTGTTAGTAATTGAGAAAATGTCTGTGTCGAATATCACGCGATATTTTAGAATAAATCATAAAATTTTCCACAACAGTACAAAAATATTTTAACGAAATGATTCTTATAGGCTGATATTTAATACAACAGCTCGTAACTTAAAGTTCACCTGCATGGAAGAAAATAATTAAAAACTTTTACCTTATACAGTTCCAAAGACATGTCTGATACTTTTCCTTCATTTCCCACCTATTTAATGGATACTCATAAAAACAATATTAAGCCCATGTTCATGTGTGTCTGAATGCTCAACATGATATGGGCGACACGTTATGTTACGAATGAATGAACTAAATTGAAAGAAAAAAATCTGTATATTTGCAGGATCGAGAATTATCTTAAAGTTAATTAAGCAAAAAAAAAAAAATACAGATGAGATTTTCATGTTTTTTATTGCCCATTTTGTACACGATACTAATGAGTTAGATAATTGTGATGGAAATAAAATACAGAAACGAGTGCATTCTTTCGCACATGAACGAAGATATTTGTAAGAATAAAATAAAGATTTTATAATAATTCTAATTTAAAATCTTTAGGAAATGCGAAATATTTTATAAGTATCTTTACATATACGACATATATTATGAAACGAAAAAAAAAAATCGATAGTCCTTTTTTGTAGAAACACAAAGTCACATAAAACCGACGAGTCAAAAATTGAAGTATCGTTTTGCAGTATATGTTGTCATGGATTTAATATTTAAGTACACATGAAGCATACATGAATGATTTCAAACGATTCGATTGGGAATAATATCCATTCAATAAAATACAAAATTATGGCAAAAAGTAATCTTAGGACATTTTTGAAAACTTCTGATTAAGAGTTTATTTTGTGTTATCTACCATAAAAACAAACAAATCAAAGCATAAATGATTTGCTAAAAATAGCTGAAAACCAAGGTGCAACAACTTCGTTTAAATAAATTTACAAAATGTTACAAAAAAGTAAAAAAGAAAGAATAAAATTGTTTACAAAATTGCATTTATTTAGATTTTTCATTGTTTCATTTTATCGATTTTCAATCAGGCTTTGAAAAAATTTGTTTATACTTATCAAAGTGGCTAGGTACTTTGGAAATTTAACCAGATTATATGTTCATATAAAGAGATTTATGTCGATAAATGTGAATAGTAAAAAAATCTTTTTAAAAAATCAAATGAGAACTGAGCACATTCTTTATAATAATATCACGCCATTAACGCTGATGTGATAAAATAAAAGTACACAGTAGAGATATGTTTGGATTAAAAAAGAAAGAACCGAATTTCTTTCTTTATTCTTCTAGACATACGGATTATGATGAGAGTTTATCAAAATTGCAATCTGTCATTTTAGGATCAAAAACTCTTTTTCATTTCCTTTTATAATTTTATCCGGAGTTATTATGAAAGTTTCATTTTATTTTTGTTTATTTTAGAATTACAAAGAAGTAAAATAATATACGGGTAGATCTTCATTACCTTTTTGACTTTTAAATAAATAGATTTTGATTTTAAAAAAAAATAGATTTTGTTTATTTGAAACTATTAAGAAGACTTTTTAATTTAAGAAAGGTGATGTAGAATCAAGCTTCCAATCTTCAAATCTAGGTTTCGAAATATTAGTATTTCAGATTTTGTAAGAAAATGAAGCAACGAAAATGTTTAAAGAAAAAAAGTTTGTGCATGAAATTTCACCACGTTTTTCTTTACAATATTTTTTATCTGTTTATTTGTCTTTTTGTTTTGTTTGGTCGAATTTTCCAATTGATTTTTATGCCCAATTGCACTGATTTAATTGAGCTGATTTTTGTATCTCAAAAAAACCTCAAATTTAAAAAACTTAAGTTGTTCAAATGTTAACTATGAACGATTGAAAGCCATGTTGAAGTCTGATTTATTTTTAAGGCTGACTGAGGGCAGCAACTTAAGTAAAAAAGTTCAAAACTGTCGAGACAGTTGAAATTTAATTATATTGAATTCTGTAATCTATCGTTTACCAAGCATGGTAGTTCGTGGTTTTCTGCGTAAAATGTGTTTTAATCTTTCATTTTTTAACTTCACTTTCAAGGTGTGCGGTGGCTCAAAAAGTTTGGACAACACTGATTTAAACGAAAAGCCTATTAACAAGACTTTTGATGTTGAGGTGTTAATATTTTCGCATTGGTTTCCTACCCAACGTACTACTTTGAATTTTGATTTGATGCCAAAGTTATAAAGTTCTTATACAGATATAAATATTCATAGATCGGGACATCAAGATAATCTTCTAAATTTTTTTATGCATTTACCAGCAACCTTAATTTAATTAAACTTAATCACTTGAACTTAAATACAATTTACATTTGTAGAAATTTCTTGGAGTTAATATTACCTACTTCTCATTTTGGACAAATATTTAAACCATATTTATATTAAGCTCATTTTAAAGGTTTTGAAGATTTTATATCTGTTTGCCAACATATTAAAAAGCTCTTTTTTATTTCACAATGAAATTAAATTGTGGACATTATCTTAATGGATTGTTAGTTTTACCTTTTATAATTTTTTTTAAAATTTTTTTATCCATTTTGCACGAAAAGTGAAGTTTAAATAATTTGATCAAGTTAAACTTAATAGAATTTTAAATCGAAGTTTAATACAAAACAGAGCATCATAATAAATTAATGAATTAAATTTCAAGGAATTGCCAGTAACTTCATGATATGGTTGTCATTCATATATTTTGCTATTGTTAATTTTATTGCAATAAGAAATGTTTAAAGGAATGTTCATAAATAGAAATGACTTTAGTAACTTGATAAAGATTCATGTTTAATTTTTACATAAATTAAACTTTTATTTACTGTTTTACTTTATTAATGTCGACTAAATAAGACACTTTTTCGCCCCTCATATTGTAAAAGACAGTACATAAATCCATAAATCAGAAAATAAGAACATAAATCACTAGAAAATGAAGGAAAACGATGAAGTTAGAAGAAAGTTTAAAATTGGGAGACGGCGCATTACGAAAGTTGTTTAACTTCTCACCGAACATTCAAGAATACATTTCTTACATCTCTGTATTTGACACTGTGATTTCGAATTTAATTTAAAATAGGCTTTCCAGATTATGATTCTTTTTTACATCCGTTAAAAGTCTATACCTTGTAACAAAACATGAATATTTACTACTTAAAATGATGAAGATTATTTCAAAAAGTTACAACAATAAGGAGCTGACATTTTGCGACTACGTTTCTAAATGTTTTTTATTGTTCTTGATTTTATAGTAATATGTAGAGATTTCACGATTACTTATAAGTTTAAAAAAAATTTAAAGCATGACGGGATAGCTGAACTAGCTGATAGCTGAAGGACTCATTTTCAAAAATCTCAAAGGGTACCAAAATGTGTGTATTAGGAGGCCGGATTTTTCTGTACATAAACTTTTACATTTGGACATCATCTGTGCCTTCAAAACGCCAAAAAACGCGAACAAATTTTCAAAATAAACCTAAAATATCTAAAGGTTTAATTTTTTGAGGTTCTCGAAATAATAACATAGCTTTCGCGAATGAAAAAAAAAATCTAAAGATATTACAGTTTTAATATTTAATTATATTTTCCTGACTACTTTACTTAAACTTCAGTTTAAGATGTTTGTAACTTTTCAATTTCTGTGAAAGGATACTTTTGATGAGAGTCTTAGCTGTGGGAAGGGGAGTGGACGAGCTGTGCTCCCATCAAAAGTATCCTTTCACAGACGTTGAGACATCTGTCAACGACTTAAAGATTTGATATTTTATTAGATTTCTCATCTTAAAAAAATTTGACGAAACACATAGTACTTTAAGATAATATTCTTATTTGGCAACTTTTTTGTTATCTAACGTAAATCAAGCGTGGAAGTTCGTGGCTTTCTACGTAAGTCGTGTTTTCTTAGCAATGCCTAAACCAATTTAAATTCTGTTTTTGCAGAAAACCTGGCACAAGAGTAAAAAAATTCAGGCACAAATTTTTCTTGTTAGACCATTTTCAGATATCCCGCTTCATATCCTTACAACATTCAAAAAATGGATTTTTCAATCTGAACAGAACAAAATATTCACACATGAAAACGGTGTGAATATAAAAAAAAATTAGAATAATAGTGCAAAAGGTTAATTTAAGGTTAAAAAATTACATTCACGAAGCACCATTTTAAATTTTTTAAATTTAATTTAAAATCTCCTAAAGCAAAAAATATAGAAGCAATAATCAAAATCAAAGTTAGCAATAAATCAAGTTTGATGATTTTGCTTAAATTTATTTATACTATCCAGGATATGAAATTATATTAAATAGTTTTTCAGTTTTAATTTTTTAATAAAGAAAAAAAAATATGAACAGGTTAGAAAAACATCATACATTTTTTAAGCGGATGTGATTTAATATTCGAGTTAACATCAATTAAAATTTTTCTCCAAAAATTATTTTATCCTTATCTTTTTTCAATATATATAATCTTGTACAAACATGTGTTCATAAGAATTTGTTATTAAGATGCATGCAACAAGCTGTCAATTCTTTCCTCTTAATTTTTTTCAAGTCGTTTAGATAGAAATTTTACACTTCGCTGATCCGAAACATCATGTTTGAGCAGTCAATTTATTCCTCAATAGCGAAAAAAATTCTCGTAAATGTGTTTGAAGCTTTTTTCATTGACAGAATGAAAGCATATCTAAATATAAAATAAATGTTTAACATGAAGCAAATCGTTTGGAAGATTACTTAACATGAGTTGTTCGTAGTGGAAAAGTGGGTGGAGATGGTGGTAGTTCACTGAATTGAAGGAAAGGGAAAGATTATTTTTTGTTAAGAAAAAGAGTAACTTTTTCTTTTCACGAAAGATAGAACATGATATTTTTTTGTGAGAGACATACGATGAAAACTTTGGCTTTTACTTTTCAGTTTTGAATCTTTACATTTTTTGAACCCTTTGATTCTTTTTATTGTAATTGAATGCCAATGGTATGATAGGAAGAAAATGATAGGGTGTTGAAAGAGAATTACATTTTACATGAATTTTACTCATTTGAAACAAGGACTTTTCAGAGTCTTAGTTTCTGAAGGATTCCGAATGAAAATTCTGCATCAACAATTTCAAAAGGAAAGAGTTTATATTGACTGCGTACGGAACACGTGAACTCATTGAAATTTAATATGGATCATTCAAAACCTTTCAAATAAGATGTAATATTTGTGTGTTTATGATGAACGTAACGAGATTATTTAAAGTTTTATGTTGGAATTGTTAAAGTGCAAATTTCATTACGAATCATTCTTGTCTTAATGTTACACATTACTACATATAGAAAATACAGAAATTTTAATATATATTTCTTTTTATATTCACACCGTTTTCACGTGTGAATCTATTGGTTTTGGTCAGATTGAAAAATCAGTTTTTCACATTTTGTGAGAAAACGAAGCAAACTTGGTTTTAAAAGATCGAATAAGAAAAGTTTGTGCCTGAAATTTTACATCATTTTCAAAAAACAGATTTCAAATTGGTTGCGGCATTGCTGAGAAAATCACAAAATAAGCTTTCTGTAAGCAAGCAAGTTAATCAGCAAGAAATCTCAATAACGAGACATCGTAGAGACTTCTAGTTTTTTACATTTGATCCGTGCTGCTCTATAGAAGAGCTGTATTGTTTTTGGGCAAGGTTGGAACAGCCATTGCTTTAGAAAAAGCAAAAAACTTTCCTTACGAATTTTTCAAAACAAAAGTTGACTGTGATTTTTATAAAGTTAAACTTTGGATGAAAAATTTCTTTAAAAAACTTTTAAAGAATGTTCGTTAAGCTTTAAACCTTCAAACATATGCTGAGCGAAGCTCAGCTGACTCGTTAGCTTTATATCTCAAAACTTATGCTGAGCGAAGCTCAGTTGACTTATTAAGCTTCATACCTTCATACTTATGCTGGGCAAATCTTGGTCTATCCATAAGACTTTTGATGGTACGGTGTAAATATAATCCGCATTGGATTTCTACCCGATACACTAGTTGAGAACAACAATTTGTCATTAAAATAAAATTAGCCATTGAACTTCTTTTCGTTACTAATTATACTTTTTATTTTCTTATTTGAGAGGAAACACAAATACATTTATCTTTTTTTTTTAAAAAAAAGGCATTTAATCTTACTAGAAGATAAAAGACACTATATCCCTGCGTCAACAAGTTTTAATTGTATACAATTTTCTGCATAATTAAAACTATTATTAACAAATTAATTTTCGTGATCGAATTTCTGAGATACACTTTTCACTCATAATTAATTTTTATATGCCTCTTTCAAACGATTATCTCCTTTATCTCACTTTAAATATTGTTCAGGCATATTTATAGAATGAGTATAGAATGAGAAAGTTTTTACAAGATGATAGCAATAATTTTAATACCGAATATTATTCTGATTACAGTCACATAACAAAAACTGCAAGTTGGCTACCACCTGCTGAAAATTGGGGACCAAACATTGAAGAGCCATTTGGATGGGAAAAAGCAATAACAAGTTCGTCTGAAAATGGACAGTTTTATTACATAAAGTAAGTATTGAGTTTGACTTCTTTGTTTTGTTTGTTTAATCAAGTCCTTTCTGTGTTCTCGATTATCAACATGCAGTCATTTAAATAAAACGACAACTTTTGAACGACCTCAGCGATATGGTTATGATGTTACACCACCTGAACCAAGAACCGTTGTGCTTCAAAGAAGTATAGCTATGGGATTCGGCTTTGTTGCAGGAAGTGAAAAGCCAGTTATAGTTCGATTTGTCACAGAAGGTGGTCCATCTGTCGGCAAGGTAAAATTCGCACTGATTTTAAAAAATCATTAAACTAATTCCAAAAAATTCACAGTTGGAACCTGGTGACCAGATTCTTGCGGTAAATGGAGAAGACGTAAAAGAAGCTCCACGAGATCATGTCATTCAATTAGTACGAAATTGTGAGACAAGTGTAGAACTTATTGTTACACAACCACAATTAAATTATTGCACAAATGGACGCAAATCAACTATATTATCACCTGCAAAGAAGAATAAACTCAAGTCAAGGCCAACTCGAGTGAGATTTGCTGAATCAGTCTGTGTGAATGGTTCACCTTTGTTTCCGGTAATATATTTACTTTTTATCACTCCATGATTTTTTCCATCTTGCTACTTTTTTTGTTGGTCTCTTTCCTCCCACAATCGTTTACCAAAATGAATCTCATTTAATCTAATTTTTTCTCATCATCATAATATTATTTTTTCAGCCTTCAGCATTTTCATTGAATGATGTTCTCATACCGCCTATGGCAAATGTATTAAAAGTTTTTCTGGAAAATGGCCAAACAAAATCGTTTAAATATGACACGACAACAACTGTTGAGGTAATTTAATCAAAATCAATAATATATTTGCTTTTAATATTTTAGAAACAATTTCAAAGTGCTGGAGATGTGTAAACTAAGCTGTGTTTTAACAGTAAAACTTATTTTTCATGTAAATGAATCAAAATTCTTCCTTAATGAAAATGAATGAGAGAGGAAATTAACTTAAAAGCTTTCTCATATATGTTACCTTTTCATTTCTATAAAAGGATGTTGTTACATCATTAAAAGAGAAACTTTGCATTTCTGCTGGACAACATTTTAATTTGGTGCTCGAACATGTTAAAAGTCTGAAAAGGAATAAACTTACATTATTAGATCCACAAGAAACTTTAGCTAGAATTGCAGCTCGTCCCGGTGCTCATAAACTTCGATGCTTATTTCGTGTTACTTTCGTACCAATCACGGCAGCAGACATAGCTCAAAAAGACTTGAATGCTTTAGACTATCTGTTTTTGCAATGTTGCAATGATGTTATACAGGAGAGATTTTCTCCGGAGCTCCAAGCTGATGTTGCATTACGTCTCGCTGCTTTGCATATGCATCATCATGCACTCGCTAACAATATATCACCGTCTAAATTGACAGTGAAAACTGTTGAGTAAGTAATTTTTATTTATTTTCAAATTTAATTTTTTAAAAGAATATTTATGAACGAATTTTATGTTTAGAAGAGAATTTGGACTAGAACGCTTTGTGCCTACATCCTTAATAGAGGGAATGAAACGAAAAGAGCTACGTCGATTAATATCACATTTTCTAAAACTCAACTCAACAATGACGGGATCGTCGACAAAAATTCTAACTCAACTGCAAGCTAAAATTCATTATCTTGATATCATATCAGCTCTACCAAGTTATGGTGAGTTGAAAATTGGTTTTAAATTATATTGTGTCTAATATATTATCAAACAGGTGCTAAATGCTTCAGTACAAATCAACGAGACGGTGTTGAACGAGTTCTTCTCGTTAGTCATAAATTTGGTTTAAGTCAAATAGCTGGCTCAAAAAATGCAGTAGTAAGTAAATTATTATTTAATTTAATATCGTTGAATTCGATTGTGAATAGTAAATAAAAATATTAGGGGTATAGATCAATACAAAAATAGTATTTTACTATTAAAATAATATCGTCACCAGAGCATTCTCGGCGTTAAAAAATAAGAACTTCATTAATATTTCTAAAATATTTTATAATTTTTTTTTAAATTGTATCTATCACACTCACATTGTAAGCAATTCTTAAAAATAAATTCATTAATTTATGTTTATACTTTTCCTCAATAGCCACAATCAATATGTACAATTGAAGAATTGTCACGTGTCGTTGTTACACGGGAGGATGATATTTCATGTTCTGTTGCTGTTTTTGTAATGCCCGATAAGCTCATCACGTTCTCAATGGATGATAGAGATGCTAATGAATTTGCTATTGTATTGGCTGGTTATTATAGACTGATTGCAGGTAATCAAATTTTGCTTTAATAATTTAATTTATTATAATCAACATGTAATTTGCAATAATTTTATCTTACACATGATACACGTTCCATAGAGTAAACTATTTTGTACCTTTGAGCTTTAATCAAGCAAAAAATCAACATTCCATGTTTCAAAAAGCCTTTAAAAATCTAATAGTAAACGTAGGATGCAAACTACGTTTCATACAAGCATATTTGTTATGTATGATATACTTTTATATGCAGAATATATGTCATGAAATCTTCTCTTTAATTTATTTCATTTTTCTAGACAACTGTTTCGAGTTTTTATTCTATTTGATAAAAATAAAGTCGATGTAGAAGAAGTGACTATTCTTCTCCGATTTCAACCTCTGCATTGTTCGACAAACATTGGAAAATATAGCTTTAGAAAGTTCTACATTTATCCCAAAATTCTTTTTATAGTTCTCTTATCATAACCAGAGATATTTTGGTGCATTAAACTCGTTTTCTAAATTTGACATCTCCAAAATATATACATAGATGTTTATGCTTGATTTTCTTGATTTTTCTTTATTACATAGGAAAAGAGCTCGAAGCACATACAGAGCATGACAAGGAAATAAATCAAGATGATATTGCACCGCCATATCTGTCTCAACACTACGTTTTTCCGGTGGGATGGAATTACTTACCTGACGATAAGCCGACTCACATTATGGCATTTTTAATGCCACCACCATATCATTCAACAAAACAGCTTTTACTAACATCTTCAAAACAGAATTTTGTTGGAAGCATCGTAACAAATAATAGCAATACTAATAATAATGTTAATAATAATAATAACGATGAACATATGGCAAATAAAAACTACTTATCACCATCATCGATAATAAAATATACAACACAATGTTCATCTGAGTCTGATGAGTTCGGCTTCGACATGCACAGTGTAGTGTCAATGGAAATTTTAGAAAATCAAGACCAATATAGACAATCACTAAAACGTTCCACAAAACAGAAGTTGACAACGTTTGTTGAGGCAAAGAATCAGGAAGTTTTACGACGAGTGGCGGAAATGCAAGAAATGGTTGAGAGCTCTCAACAATACTTAAATGAAAATCATACTCCTCATGAGAACGGATTCATAAAAGAGAATGGAAATGTAAATTACTGGCGTGAGACGTCAGTTGATATTGAGAGTGATAATGAAAGTCAATCGGGTAATAACCAATCTTTTGTTAATGATACAAATACATCCATTGCAACACCAATAATACAAAATGAATATAAACCGCCCACTACAGAACCCATAACTTTAAAACACAGTGATTCACTTACACTCCTCGCCGAGACAATAAAGAACGATTTAAATGGAATCAATAATGGTTTAAATGCTATTTACACTCCATTTGATTGCCATTCAAATGAAAGCAGTAGTACAGCAAATGACACAAACAGTACAGCGCTGCCATCAATTTCAAATACACCAAAAGTTCATCGACGGCTTAATGGTCTAAGCCAAATTATTAGCGATTTGCAAGCACTGGGAAATGATTCAAGTGATTGTGATTCAGAATCATTGAATAACTCACCTATTCATCAGAATGGAGTTTCACAAAATATTAATTCAAGTGAAATGGAAGCGCATTTAAGAAATTTAACAAATCCAAAAACATTCAAACAAATAAGAACAAGTTTTGGTCTTCATTCACCAGATTCATTGGGAGACGCAAAAGATATGAATCTTAAAGAATATTTGAGGCAGTTAAAAGAAGCTAGCACTAATGACAATAATACAGGACAGGATTTAGCTGCAAAGAAAATTGTAGAACTTTATGGGTATGAAATCGGTGAAGACATGATTGAGACAGATCCAGATTTAATTGATCTTACAACAATACCTCCACCTCAAACCCCTGATGAACTCGACATTCCAAATAATTTATTAAGTATTCCACCTTCGGGTTTTGATGATGTTGATGGAAAAAGCAGACAAAATTCTCAAGAAAGTGGTGAGTTGGAGGAATTTTTAAAGAAGGTAAGAGTTGAACCCCCAACAAAAATTGTTACTCCTGCTGTTGAACTTACACCCGAAGAAATTGCCCAATTTATAATTCCACCACCGCCAATATTATCAAAAAATACATCAATTACTACTCAATCTGTGTGTAACAATAATAAAACAATTCCATCATCACCGTTAAGTGTTAAACCAATAAGTTTAAAACCAATACCACCTACGAAACCTTCTCCACTTTCGTCACCCCTCAAACCAGTGCCGCTACCAAAACCATTTTTCAATAACAATATTATTGCAACGAATGCACGTGAAAATCAAAATTGTAATAGTTTCTATGATAATCAACATGGTTTCATGAACTGTTGTGATCATTCATTCAGCTTACCACAACCGATTAACATTCCATCATCACTGGAACAAGGCCCCGGAACACCTGAGAATAATGTAAAAAATAAAGTCATGTTGTTTAATAATGGACATAATAACGACAATACTAAAAATCCTTTTGATTATGCATCTGTGGATCGTAGAGTAAAGTTTTCCTGTTGCACTAAATCTCCAACGATTATTAATGGCACGAGTACATATACAAATGAAAATTTGAGCAGCAGCGATGATAATGAATCATTAATATTGCCTCCAAAGAGAAATCAAGCTAATGGTCAATCCTGTAATAACAGAAAAGTACCAGATAGGCCACCAAAAAGCGTAGAGCTTCAATTGAGATTAAATTCGCCAGTTAAAACATCAGCAACAATAAATTTAAATCATAATTACGGTCCCTATAGTCTTTATAATAACACCACAGATAACAGTACACCTCCATCACTTCCGCCACGTATAAATGAAAAATCATCACCGCAAACAGATACCTTACGAAAACCACCATTACCACCGATTCCGCAAAAGCCAGTTTTATTTTCATCATCATCGAACTCTCCCATGGGATCACCTTCGCCTAAAAGTCCTTTGTCATTTTTGAAAAATGGTAGCACAAACTCATCTCCGATTCGAACAGTTGGCTCACCACATTTGCATCATCGTCATTACAACACATTAAAAGAAGCAGATAGAACAATATTTAATTTCAATCAAACTATTATTAATAGTGAAATTAATCCAATCATGTCACCACCGGCTATTTTACGACATCAATCGAACGGATATTATGTAGCATCATCCCAGAATGGACATGACTATAAAGACAAAATTCCTTTATCAGTGTTATGTTCACCACAATTTTCGCGCAAGCCATGTAATTATTTTCCATTACCCAGCAGCCCACAGCTAGCAAATAGAAATGGTCATGTTATAAATATAGCAACACTTATGACAAAAACCAGTATGGCTATGTCTGGATTATTAATGAAATTGGATCAAGTTGCTATATTATGTGCAGACGCACAAAATGCTGGAGGTGGACAAGAAATAGATGAGGAAAAATTTCAATTGGCAAAAGACGAACTAACTGGAGTTTCTTTAAACTTAGTAACCGCATCTAAACTCTTAGTGATTGCGATGTCTGACAATAATGCTCAAAATCTACCTGAACATTTGACAGCATGTTTAACAGCTCTTAGGAGAATAACTGAACTCGGACAAGATTTGGTGCGATTTACCACGGCACCGCTTCAAACGAGAAACATAATATTAAAAATTCACGATGTAGCATCAAGTTTTCGTGAAATGGTTTGCGTTCCGCTTGGTCCAAGTGGTGCAGGGCAGCTAGCATTAAATGCAAATTGTTTGGCAAATGTACTAGCAACATTGTTGCGTAGCTTAAGGGTATTCTCTCCTTAGCATTTACAAAAAGAAAATACTGAATATAATAGTGATGATGACGCAAAAGTTAATGATTTACTAATAGAAAAGAGTACTCCTGCTGCTAAAAATGATGTTAATAAAACAATAACTAAAGGCAGTTTATTCTGTTTTCTTTGCATCAAATAATTCCATAATAAACATGTGAAAAACTAGTGTATCGGGTAGAAACCCAATGCGGATTATATTCACACCGTACTATCATAAGTCTTATGGATAGACCAAGATTTGCCCATCAGTAGTATGGAGGTATGAAGCTTGATAAGTCAACTAAGCTTCGCTCAGCATACGTTTGAAGTTATAAAGCTATCGCGTAAGCTGAGCTACGCTCAGCATAAGTTTGAAGATATGAAGCTAGAGAGGCAGCTGAGCTTCGCTCAGCATAAGTTTGAAGTTATAAAACTATCGCGTAAGCTGAGCTACGCTCAGCATAAGTTTGAAGATATGAAGCTAGAGAGGCAGCTGAGCTTCGCTCAGCATAAGTTTGAAGTTATAAAGCTATCGCGTAAGCTGAGCTACGCTCAGCATAAGTTTGAAGATATGAAGCTAGAGAGGCAGCTGAGCTTCGCTCAGCATAAGTTTGAAGTTATAAAGCTATCGCGTAAGCTGAGCTACGCTCAGCATAAGTTTGAAGATATAAAGCTAGAGTGTCAGCTGAGCTACGCTCAGCATAAGTTTGAAGATATGAAGCTAGAGAGGCAGTGGAGCTTCGCTCAGCATAAGTTGAAGTTATAAAGCTATCGCGTAAGCTGAGCTACGCTCAGCATAAGTTTGAAGATATAAAGCTATCGAGTCAGCTGAGATACGCTCAGCATAAGTTTGAAGGTATAAAGCTTGACGAATATGCCAAATATTCTTTAAAAGTTTTTTAAAAAAATTTTTCATCCAAAGTTGAATTTTATAAAAATCACAGTCAACTTTTGTTTTAAAAAATTCGTAAGAAAGGAAAGTTTTTTGCCATTTCTGAAGCAACGGCTGTTCCTACCTTGCCCAAAAACAATACAGCTCTTCTATAGAGCAGCACGGATCAAATGTAAAAACTAGAAGTCTCTACGATGTCTCGTTATTGAGATTTCTTGCTGATTAACTTGCTTGCTTGCTTGCTTGTTTGCTTACAGAAAGCGTATTTTGAGATTTTCTCAGCAATACCACAACCAATTTGAAATCTGTTTTTTGAAAATGATGTAAAATTTCAGGCACAAACTTTTCTTCTTGCCCTTTTATAACCAATTTTGCTTTGTTTTCTCACAAAATGCGAAAAACTGATTTTTCAATCTGAACAAAACCAATAGATTCACACGTGAAAACGGTGTGAATATAATAAATGGTAAACTATATAAATACGTGAAAAGGAATTGAAATTTATAACACAAAAATATTTGCAAAGAACAATTCTTATCGTTCATTGTTACTAATCACATAAACACTGCAGTGTTTCTTTAAGAAACAATTCTAAGAAAATTAAACTAATGAAAAAAAAAATGTAGAGGCGAATATTCTTCATGCAATAAAAAGTAACCAAAAATTATTTACACAAAAAAAATTATCCAAAAATGATCCAATAATTGATTATCTAAGAATTAAAATTTATATTGTTGAAATATCAGTTAATTTTTTTAAGTTGTAATTCAAAATTTTGATCATTAATACCCAAAAAATTATTTCTCGAAAGAATTTATTGCGGGAAATCTAAAACATGTTGACTAGTCATAGTATTTATTAATTTTTTTAATTAAAATTTTAATGTTTTTTTTTATTTTATTTTAATATAACTCTATTGTAAAGATCATAAGAAATGAAGAAAAATCTATCAAAATCTTAAATTATAATCATAATTCTTGTTTTTTTCTTTACAGTTCTAAAACAAGATGCTGGGTTATAAGTCCAGAGATTATAAGTCCAGATACAAAAATCGTGCACAGAAAATCATAAGTCCAGAAAATCAAAGTCAATAAAGGTTTATAAGTTCAGATACAAATTGCACCTGGACTTAAAAACCTCACGTGTGGTTTATAATTCCAGAAAATTTATAAATTTTACTTAAGATACATTTTTCTGGACTTATAATCCTTGAAAATTATTTGTGAAACTACTTCAATTTTTTCCTTTAAAGCAATTCTACAAATAAACTTTTCTGATTTTTTTTTCCTCTAAAGTACCTTAAATATCCTTTTCAGCTGTTGTATTTCATTAAAATCATTATAACAAATTAAACGGTTTATCTTCCAAATCATTGTTAAAATTGAATTTTAAGGAAGTTTTAGAAGATAAATCAATTTTTCTGATGTAAATTTACGTCTCCGAAAAACTTCAGCTTTTATTTTCCTAATACGTTTTAAAAAATTATTTTTTAAAATTAAATTATTAAAGCTTAACAAACATTCTATAGTGTTTTTTTTAAAAAGATTTTTACTAACCAAACTTTAGTTTTATAAACTTTTATAAACAACATTCTAATCAAAGAAATTATTGGTAATTAAAGTAAAACTTGATTTTTTAATATCATTTTCTCACGGTTTTGGCTTAAGCGTTGGTATATTACATCAATAAAATTATTCATTTTTCTGTTAATTGGGTGTCTTTCAAGACAATCTAAGTATGCAGTATCATAGAAGATGATAGAATGAACGGCATAATAACCATTTTGATCGAAACCCAACTAGTGTCATAAGAAATACCGAGATTGTTTGTCATGAAGTCAAAAAAATGTCATCCATCTTGGATTTTCTACATTTGAGCGATTCTCCAGAACGGTGGAATTTTTCAAAATGAGCTTTTATAATTCGTTGTCAATTATGCTTACATCATAAATATAAATTCCACAATTTTTCTAAATGTAGAATGATTTGAAGTTTTAAATTTTTCATCAATAATAATTTACTTTTATAATAAATGATGAAATTTTTCAAAAGTGTAGCTTGAAAGTTCAGAATTACAGTATTTTCGATCAAAAATTTTTGTAATTTTTTAACGGATTAGGAAAATTTAAGCTCTTGCGTTGCTTTGTGACAAAAAATTGACGTTCGGAGAATCGATTTATCTCGATAATTAAGCTTTATTACTAGAGTTTGGAGCATTTACATTTCTAAACAGATCTTAATCTATCATTAAGTGTACATTTAATGCTGCAAAGATGAGGATTTGATATGAAATTTTTGATTACCCTGTTGAAACTTTTACAAAATTCTATTTTTGGTCACAAAGCAACGGGCCGAAGAATTGAAATATCTTAATAATTAGGGCAATTCATGCTTGGACAAAAAACTAAATAGATAGGAAATAAAAAATTACATCAGATAAACTGAAAAGCTTGTAAGGTTTAGTGAAAAATTTCGACAAAAAATTCATTCAAAGTCAAAATTTTTGCGATTTACCCTACTGGAATCGCCTATTGTCAAATGCATAATTTTTCATAATTAATAAAGGAGAAAAAAAAATTGAAATAGTTTCGCAAATAATTTTCAAGGATTATAGGTCCAGAAAAGTGTATCTTAAGTAAAATTTATAAATTTTCTGGAATTATAAACCACACGTGAGGTTTATAAGTCCAGATATAAAATGTACCTTGACTTAAAAACCTCTCGTGCAGTTTATAATTCCAGCTGTATTTGTACCTGGACTTATAAACTGCACGTGAGGTTTTCAAGTCCAGGTGCACTTTGTATCTGGACTTATAAACCTTTATTGACTTTGATTTTCGTGACTTATAATCTCTGGACTTATAGTTTCTGGACTTAAAACCCAGCATCCTAAAACAAAGCTAAAAATCTTATTTTTTTGCAGTTCATTGTGAAATCAATTTATTTTTAATATTTGTAAAAAATATCTAACATTAAAAAATGTGGCATGTCTTGTTACATAATATACATATATACACTTACACATTCAAAGATACATACACCAGAAATTAGGAATAATGAGCTATTGTAACTGTTTGTATACAAAAAATAAAAAATTGATTATGAAATGAATAATCAAATGACCAAAAATTAATTTTGAAATAAGATGAAAATTTTTATTGTTTTTAAAACACCAGACATTTTAAAAGAAAATTCATTAAAAGTTTCAAAAAAAATACTAAAGTCCTCGTGTTATTGATCGAGGGACTTCAACGCATTTTTGACGCAGCGATCAGTGTTTAATCATCTAATTATTTTGCGTTCGTTTACAGATCATTAGAAGTTTAGAAGATCATTAATTTTAGTGTAATTAACAAATAATTATAATGAGTGCTTATATAGAAAGGCTTTATTATTTAACGGTCAATAAATAATTTGAAATATTTCCGTTAAAAGTTGCACTACAATAAGATCAATTATAGTATAATTAATAATTTGTTACAATGAATTTCCATACAGAAAAAGTTTATCATTTAACGGTTTTTTGGAATTCAAATTTTACAACGGCTAGAAAAATTTGAAATTATAGAGGTAATGTTGAATTTTTAAACGTACTCATCACGTAGTTTTGTTTATAAAATAAAAAAACCATTAATTATAGTATAAATACACTGTTTCAAGACTTTTAACTGTTCGATCGGCCAATAAGTCAATAGTAACGGAGCTAATAAAATAAACCTGAGCTCTCTACGATGTCTGGTTAAAAAGTTTTTCTTCAGACGAACGAACGAACAAATTGCATTATTAAGCTCCTTTTTTGTATACGAGTATACAAAAATGCGCTTTAAAAAGGTTCTTTTCTATCTAGGGTCTTTGCATCAGACTTTTATTTTGTTTATTTACAAGGCTCGTGAGAGTTACTCGTTTTTGAGTAAAAAAACCATTTTTTTAATCCTACTTAAAGCTTAACATTGGATTTTGTGTGATTTTAAAACGTGATTACAGAAAATCAAGAACTTTCAACTCCTCACGAGCCCAATTCAGTACTGATTTCCTAGTATTATTTTCACAGCTATTGATTAAATACAACACAAACTATCTTTAATTTAGTTTTTGGTAGACTATTAATGCGATAAAAAT